TGCCGTGATTGAAAAAACAAACAAGCATTAAAAATGAAGAAGCATTGGTAATAAACAAAATTGACCAAACTCATAACGATTGCTCCAACTCTCCGTGTTGAATCAGAAAGTAAAACGAACCGGAAATGAAACACGGTGATCGTACATGCAATTTTACAGTTATTTGTTTGCAAGCATCGACGTGTCAAAACTGCCCAAACGAATTTTCTCGATTGCGAATTATTGATATTACCGTTTATAAAAAAAGAGGATCAAAATAGAAAACATCTTTCGTTGAGAATAACCCCGAGATGACCCCTCAGTAACGATACGTTTTGCCCATGCGCTAGCTTCATTAGCATAATTTATAACGATCAACAACAAACAACATGGCGGCCAAAATAGGTCGGATTTTGCAATCCCGCGATGAAAATGTCGACAAGGTAAATAAAATATCTCTCATTTAATAAAACTGGTTCATTTTTCTTGTTTTCGAGACGGGGGGGAATTTGCTCTTCATGTGCAAGACAGTCCACAGAAGTGCCGCTGGCCAGCTGGGGATCGATAGTATACCGGGGGTAGTACCGATCGGAAACAAGCTAGTTTTTCATTTCAAACTTTGAATGAAACTGTTTTAATTTGTTGTTAAAATCTTTCCAGTCTCCAGACGTTACATTCAGATGTTATTCAATTTTTTTTTTTTTTTTACTTTTTCGCAACTTCACAAACCAAGTTGCGATGGTCACCCCTGTCTATTAGCCCTAAAGATTGCGTACTCGGTAATCTGAACGTAACACATGGCCACTTTCCTGTTAGCGATTCGCAAGTAGGTATTGTCTTTTTGCTGAGACAGTCCAATGGAAATGTTGGTGGTCGTTATACAAAGGTTAAAGTGTGAATAGGTCTACAATAGGGTGGTTGCTGGTCGCGTTGGACAGGTGGTCGCTATATTCAGTGTCTTTAACATGTAAATTGCGAAGGGACTGTACTAAGGTGGTCGCTATGAGCAGGTGGTCGCTCTGCACAGGTGGTCGTTAACACAGGTTTGACTGTACAATACAAATAATGTTAGTAACAACATAAAGTAAGTAAAAGAAAGAAAAGAATAATTTTAAAACTTTAGCGAAATGAAGAATAGTAGTTGTTATTCTGCAGCTTTAAGTCTATTATTTTATTGATGGTTATTTTGTATTTTTTTTGTTATGGTTATTTTGTAAGTTACAGGAAATTTTTAATAAAAAATTGGACAGTTGTGTAAAGATTTTGTCTGTCAAATGAAATTTTACACCTGTTTAAAATATGGAGTTCCTTCCTAAAATGACAGGCAGACAGGTGGCTGGCTAAAAGCCTGTCAGGTCTGGTATATACTCACTCTTTGACATGCATGGCCACAGTCTTGATTCCTAGCTTCACTACAACAACGTTGACCATACCAGGTACTGTCATCAGACCATATATCTATAGTAAACAAGAAACACAAGTTACTAGCACATTCTACGTCACGATCCCCAAAATTTTGCAAGAACCAATCACAAACAAGGACAGACAATGGTGTTTTAGATTAACACCTTCATTTACCCCAATGCTAACCAACATTCCCCTATGTTAACGAAAAATTCCGTTGTTTTCTACTGACTTCCTGTTCAAGTCTGTCTGAGAAAGTGGAAAGTCAAAATGAGAATGCTTTCAGCAATATCATTCTGAAACAAAATCTAGGCCAATTTAACACAAAGAAAACATAATTTGCATATTTTTACTACTATCCACCTTTTCAGTTACTAATGGTCAACCCCCTTAGTATTATTGCAACACTTTTACGACCCTTCATTGATAGTGGGAAATAGAGCAAAACGCATGTACTAATGTACACAAAATCCCCCTTGATTTTGGTGGGGGTCATTCTCATGGTGGTATAATTTCCATAATTATGGGAAACATTATATTAAACGTTGCGCAACGATGAGTTTGAATTGGTCCTGCAGGTGTTCTCTTTTGATACTATGTTCTATTGCTTGTGTTACCCCGGTATCTTAGGGAAAATTACTCAAACTGCTGTACAATGTATCTATAGAAATAGGTTTGTATCCCACATTTTTTTTAAATGCAGTTCCAGACACATTATTTTATTGCCTAGAGTGTAAAAAAAGAATCGCAAAGATTCGTTATACATTTTTGTGATTGAACAGGTCGTGTTTCACTCACCCCCCCCCCACTGAGTCCTGTGCGTTCACTTCAAAATACACATAAAGTAATATCACGTTTATCTAAACAAAATTAGATCCGTACCCCCATTTTTTCACATACGACCTTATATAGCAATAAGCAATCTATTCGTAAAATAAAAAAAAAAATCCATTTAGACTTTCGTGAAATTGTATAAGCCACTTTAATGAGAAAGATGACTCTCCAACATCTACCTGCCCGGGTCAATTTCAGCTCAAAACTATGGCTGATTTAAAATCTATGAAACAAGGATGTTTTCTTCTTGTATATGATACTGTAATAGCATTAAATTCACTAGAATTTAATTTCACTATTTTTGACATTTCTAGCGTACTCAATGTGTTTTCAAATTGACAAAGTTTTCACTGAAAAAATAATTTCTATTGTAATTTTACATGTTCCTGTGGATATAATTTAGCAGATTTCAGCGAAAATAAAAAAATTGAAGCCTAGTGAATAATTAATTTCTTACAGTATTGGTACCACCGTTATGATATATATTCCCCTCTACATGTTGAATAAGCCACATGTAAGAATTTCTCATTTAAACATTTAAAAAAAAATATATATTACTTCAACTAGTAGCTTAAATTCAACGGGTATCTTTAAAATCAGCAATATAAAACTAACAGAAATTTGAAACATGTATTTCATATTTTATAAATTTTAAATTACTAGGTTACAGAATATAGCGAATAAAATTTAGTTTTTTTTTAACATTAAAACACAATTATTGATTATTATTCAATGCACGCTGCTGTATTAAAAATAGCATAAATCAATCACTTATTATTCACTTTGAATAACATGTTGACACTGGTAAAAAGTACTGAATGTACAATGATATTTGCACATGCACATTCATGTCAGATGCGTGTAGAACCATCTGTCCACAGAGCGCTGTAAAACAGAGCTTGTCATGTGGGCCATACAAAAATATATTTGTGTTTGTAATAATGGAGAATCATAAATATTCATTACAAGCAGTGAAACATATTTTTACATATCTCATCAGTCACCTTTTTCATAAAATAAATTTGGGTATGGATAAAATATAATACTACGTGTTCTGTAAAAAGTTTTTTTTGTTTTGTTTAAGACTGCATAACACGTATGCATTTCAATGTGGCCTTATAAACAAGGCTGATAATGATTGATATTAATAGAGGTCAAGGGTCGTCTCCCCTTGTCAACACAACTATCACATGCAGACCAACATTCCATTACAAAATACACACTGACCCACATAATACTGAATTGCCTTTGACTCTTACATTGGCAGTGACCTTACAAAACTTACATCCCAGGCAATAAAACCACAACAAACTCATTAAACTGTTGCGTCATGCGCATAAAAATCAAACTGAATCATAAATTATGTTTGTTTTTTTTCTTTTTTGACTTCTTTTGTTTCATTTTATTCATTTACATCCCTTATAAAATGTTGTTGTGGTTTTAGTGGTGTTATAAACTGATTACAGTGATTCAGTTGACATGGTAAAAGTGTTTATGCTGGCCACATATCTGAACAGCTGAACTACACAAAAATGCATGCACACAATAAATTATCTCAACTAATAGTCTAGTACATGGCAGTCTATGCATGTCATCCATCTTACTTGTGTCAGAATGCATTCCAAACTCACCATAGTGGAGGGTTGGCTGCTAGTTGTGAGCCAAGCGGGCTATTAATAACTGTCAACTTACTACAACTACTCTGCAATTGAAAAGGATTCTGTCTAGACCAAAAAGCATTCCAACATTTATTTAAAACATTCTAAAATCTAAAACCTAATGTCATTCGATCTTAACTGAAAAGCGCATACCAACAGGGTAGATTCTCACAATTGAAAGATAACTATATAACAGTGTAGATTCTCACAATTAAAAAAGAACTATATAACAGTGTAGATTCTCACAATTAAAAAAGAACTATATAACAGTGTAGATTCTCACAATTGAAAAGAGAACTACATGTATATAACAAAGTAGATTCCCACAATTGTAAGAGAACTATATAACAGTGTAGATTCTCACAATTGAAAAGAGAACTATATAACAAAGTAGATTCCCACAATTGTAAGAGAACTATATAACAGTGTAGATTCTCACAATTGAAAGAGAACTATATAACAGTGTGGATTCTCACAATTAAAAGAGAACTATATAACAGTGTAGATTCTCACAATTAAAAGAGAACTATATAACAGTGTAGATTCTCACAATTGAAAGAGAACTATATAACAAAGTAGATTCCCACAATTGTAAGAGAACTATATAACAGTGTAGATTCTCACAATTGAAAGAGAACTATATAACAGTGTAGATTCTCACAATTGAAAGAGAACTACGGTATATAACAAACAGTGTAGATTCTCACAATTGAAAAAGAACTATATAACAGCGTCAATTTCCACAACTAAAGTTCATATTTCCAGTTATTGGTCACGTAAGTAATGGTAGTTATTCACCGAAGCGACAGCCAATAACTGCCACTTTGGAATGATAATTACTTAATATTGGTTGAAGCCAAGGACAATAAAAATTGTATTATTCTGAAAAAGAACATGGCAGTAAGCGAGTGAGGTCAAACTGTTAGCCAAAACCCTGGGTCAAAACGCTTCCATTCATTTACAATGTACAACAATCTAAGTACTTTGGCTGTTATAATATTAGAGGCCATTAACACACAAAATGACATCATAGTTACACAGAGAGGCCAATATCAATATTTATCAAAGGATCATGTGATAGATTTTGACCAATAACAATGAATGTCTGCTACTTGTGGGATGATAATAACAGTAAAGATTTTCACAATTGAAGTGAATACTATATAGTATAGACACGCACAGTGACATCATTTGTTTACATTTTCGCCAATCAGTATGCGAATGTCTAGTAACAAATGTAGCTATCGCTATGACAATGTTTCCCACAAGTTTTGTTATTAACAGGAACACACACATGTATCTTTAAAACAAAAGCAGCGAACAACGTTGTTATTTTCCTTCTGGTGCAATATGACCGATTCTCAGCAACCAGTTACTGTGTACACATATGCACACAAATTGTAAGCAAGTATATAGATACTCGCTTGAGAGAATTGGGAGGACATTTCACTTGTAAAAATATTAAGTCACTTGTCAGAATTCATACTGTCAACACTTCACTTGTTACAGAAATCTCATTAATATTTTAAAATTTATTTTTGTTGGTTTCAAATGACAAAATACATTGAAATTATAGGTATTTGAAAAATTATGTAAATTTTTTGCATATTATTTGACCATTACTATGTCCTACAAAAAAGAAAAGATTTACTGTGAAGAAAAATGAATATACTTTTGAGTTGTACGTAAATACTTAATTGTAAACATAATTTAGCATCAAATATTTGGTATGTTTACACTGCAGAATGTTAATTTTATCAAGGCAATCTACTGCTCCTCCCCCCAGTTTTTAGTGTGTTTATATGGTTGTGGCCAAACAGATTCAAAGTTCAACCCAGTTCGATAGAGCTGAACTGGAACAGAGCCCTTGACTGAGATTACTCGTTTAGACGGTCGATGCTCAGTCCTATCGAGTTCAAACCTGAGGCATTATTGGAGCCAAACTCAGCTTGAGCCAAAGAAGTTTACAAGGTCCTTTTTGCTAGCTTGAGCTGTCAGTCTCTGATGCAGTTGCATAAAAAAAAAAAAAAAACACGAGGTAATTGTCACAATAAACAGCTTATGTTTTCCTTCTCAACAAAAAATCTCACAAATAAGAAAAAATTGAATTTACAGTCTCAAATCACAACATTGATCTTAGTCTACATGTACTGTAAAATACTTTATTTTCACTGAGGGGATAATTCAGTGAAAATAAAATCCAGCGAATGGATCCTTTTTCTTATATTTCACATACAACTAGTCAAAATAAGTAAAAATTAATTCCACACAAAAAACCCACCAAAGTCTTTTCAGCAAAAACTAATTCCAGCTGCTAAAATGCATTTTACAGTAATTAGGAAGTATATTAATGTTATTATTGTTTCGATATAACCTGCCTATGTATGTCTGAAAAACAGTTCATACTAAATTACATATTTTCAAGCTGAGCGCATTTTATAGTTCATACCACATTTTTGGAATTTATTTATTGTATTCCATTTAATTTGTACCGCTAGAAATTCTTGTGATTTCAGGATTTTACATTATTCGAGAAAGCAAAGTTTCACAAAACTCAATAACACTGCGTTCAGAAAAATTTGGACTGCTACAAAATTTTGCTCCCAAAATTCATGAAAATGTATCTCTCACGAAATTAAAACAGTTTACAGCATTTACTGTAAATGCATTAATTATTCAATGTTTTTTTTTATTTTGTTATTCTTGCTGATAGGTAAAATCCGTTAATTCAAATCCATGCGAAAATGTGAAATAACATTAGAAGCCATTGTTTCCCTGCCAATTTTGTGAAATAAATCGAAACTTCAAAACAGTGAAATTAAATGCCAGTGAAAAATAAATGGTTTTACAGTATGCAAATTTATGTTTATAGTAGGGTAGGGTAGGGTAGGGTATTCAATACTGTTCAACCCTAAAGCTGTTTCCAGAAAACGATCCTCCAGTCAACCTGCAGTAATCTATGGTAGTCTTGAAGAAAAGCAGCAAAAAGGGCTGACAATTTAACATCCCCACTGCTAAGTGGACAGTCGACCATGAGGATACAATCGGTGATATCCATAATTCTCCACAAACAAACCATTTAATATGCTACACTAAACTACAGGCATAAATAATAAATTGTAGTATAAAAAAGAAATGTTTTATTCAAAATCTATACTGTAGAATACTTTATTTTCGCTGAAAAGGCTTTTTGGGTGTTTTGTTTGGAATTTATTTTCACAGATTTTTGATGAGTTTAATGTGAAATAAAAAAGTATATTCACTGGATTTTATTTTCACTGAAGCATCCCTAAAAAAATGGGTTAACGAAAGGATAAAGAATCTTGGCTAAATTTGACAAGGGACAAGTTCAGTACATTGGACTTACATACATTTGTATTCACTACAAAAAGTATATTATTTCATTTAAGAGTGAGCTTCTATTAATGCTTTCTTCTTCAGTCGAGGAAGACTAGATATAATATACTAATATTGAGTTAGGATGTAATCTTCCTGCTAATGGATTCTATAATTGACTTTAACTGCAGCCTAACTTCATTTCTTCTGATACATATACAACATACCACTCCAAACACAGGAGGTATCAGATATAACAAAAAATCACAAAAATACTCTTATTTTCAGTGATATAAATGATGGCATTTGTTGGAGGGATGACATTTTACAATACTCACTTGTATTTAACTGTTTTTGAAAATTCTTATTAACGTACATATTTGTCTCATGAAAATTAAGTGGTTTTGGTATTCGTGAAAAAAAATAGTAAATTTGCAGAGATTGCAGAAAATGAACAAATCAACACACCAACTATAAAAGCAACTTTAATGAGATATTCCAAGAAAAAGTATTCTAGTTCAGCATGTTCTAGTTTGATGTGTGGCTCTGTGATCCAAATTGAGTTTGGATGATTTCATCAATGATTTTACATAATAGTATAATGGTCAAAATGGTCTCAACAATGGTCTCAGCTAGACTTAAGTCGATCAAACCTTGGACTGTCCAGTGTAAAGACTGAGATTTGCTTTGATGGCCAAAAAATTTCAACAGCCCAGTTTTCGAGGTCAACAAGATCTCATCACCCATCCACACTTAGCCATCTCTAGTGTTTTCACATGAAGTTTCTATGAGGTATTGTTTAAGTCTCTAAATATAACAGGCACAATCAATAAAGCTAGTATTAGAGAATAGCAAATTACCACAGCATATCACTGTTACTGAAAAAGAACCATGAGTATATAGGCCATTAGCAACAATGGTCTTCATCAATATTTTCATACTACCATGTACTTTCGAAAACACGGTTGATTTTAATATACCGGTAATGGTGACAACAGTCTCATGATATCATGTACAAACATGAGATAATTACTCTGAATTTAGAAAAGAACAGTTTTTCTTCTTCATGGGATAAGAGTTAAATGCAAAAAAAGCACTATAGTGGCTTGGTTGTCTTTTGTACAAATCGTGAATAGACATTGTTCATGGGCAAACAATCTCAGCCAATTTAACTTGAATGTGCGATAGTCTTAAATAGACATGTGGGGCATTGAATTTTCTCAAATTGACTGCACTCAAATTGACTGCACTCAATACTTGGGTCTTTGCAATCACAATAAGGGAGTGAATTCCAACAAATTGAGCATAGTGGCGGCTGCTACCAACTTTCATGCTTCATTGAGTAGTGTAGAAATATGTCCACAATAAAGGTACACAGAAAACGTAGCATGCACCAAACTCTTAAAGGCAATGCAAGTCATATCAAATGTGTCTACATTCGAGATTTTGGGATATTGTGAAGACAAGAACATTCACAGTTTAGCTTATACTACTAGTATTTTTAATTTTGCTTTGATCAAATAAAACAAACATTATTTCAGGTAAAGTGTCAAGAAATGGTGAGTACAAATAGTAGTTTGTCATATTAAATCTACACTGAAGTATCGTGCCAATATTGACTGTTTGTTATGAGTAACCAGCTCTTTCAAGAAATCTAATTAGAATTATCTATAAGCAAATAGAATTAGAAGTGGCACACCTGTTTTGTAATTTACCAATAGAATCCATATACATGTATGATTCAATGGTAAAAACATTTACTATATTTTGATATATGGATAGTCATATACTGATGATAATTAAAACAAGATACAAATGTTTTATCATTTATTATTACCCGGTATTATTATTATTATTATTATTACAGCACTGAAAATTTGAATTTATTGTTCCACAAAGTCATATCAACACTCATTCCAAAATGAATGATCACTCGTTCAAACGTTCAAATTCGTCTTCTATGTGACGAACCATTTCACTAACATTGACTCGTTTAAGATTATTGTCGTCACATTCAAACACTATCTTTGTTTACACTTGATGCAGAAGCGATATAGGGTGTGACGGAAATTGAATCCCATCACTGAGTGTGAGTGTTCGCCCAGTGCAAAACGTTTTTTCTTTGCCATTTTGGGGCTATAATCTCTCATTAAATGATTAAAATAATAAGGTAATCATGAGAATAGTACAAAGTGTGCACTCAAATACGCTACAATCACCGTACTGCTTTCATGCATACTTTGTGGTATTCTTATGATAACCTCATAATATTGGTAGCTGAATGTTTTAAAACTGCTACTGCTGCATTATAATACTTTTTTTTGTGCCAGCTAGGCGACAGTTCCAGACATTGAATGTCACTTTTGTCTCTCCTGACTTTTTTTTCTATGTGCAAATTGCAAGTGCTAGTGCTGACACATTTTTTCCACATAAGTCATATTCATGTTTGGGATAACATGACAGGGTTGTGTGGCCATCTCTCTATCAAATGGCAATTTTAATGCACAAATAGGTTGATGTAAAACAAAACCCATAAACGTACACGTGTAAAAACAATTTTTTTTGAGAGAGAGTGGACAATTAAATTGGTCAAAGAATGCAATAGAAAGGAGATAGGATAAAGTGCATTTTAGACATCAACATTTCTGCCATCCTAAGTTAGGTTGTGACGAAAATGATTCAATCCATCTATAAGTTCTTGATTTTGTAGTTCATCTACATATATATATATTCATCCAGCTCTTCATAATGTAAAACAAGTCTTTAGCTGACATTTATTTTTGCTAATCTGCAATTTTGCTAATCTGCAATTTTGCTAATCTGCAATTTTGCTAATCCAAGGTATTGCTATGTCACTAGTTTAAAATAAAGTATATTCCCACAATGAGATTGTTGGCACTTTAGCTAACTTAATATTCTGTCAATTCACACATTGAGTCAAATTCTTTGTTAGGGACTAACCATTTGAAATTGAGGGGGTGGCTGAAAGAGTGTGACCAGTGAAAATGATATGGCGTCTTCTGTACATTTTTCTTTTTCTTCAGTGTGCCAGTTTTTCTTTCCTTCTACACCATGCATGCATTTTTTTACAATGCATACCATATTTTTAAACAAATCTTCAAGCAACCCTCCATTGATTTGTAATGGTCAATCCCTGAAAATGGCATGTAGCTATTTCAACAGGTTTTACAGTACTATAAGCACACATTTACTTACCCGATGCAGTAGAGTTTATACAATGCCAAAATATACCCTACGGAAAAAGAAAAGAAAAAATACAACCCAGTTAATAAATCTCCCTTCATCATACTTGCGTATATTGATTGTAAATTTGCATATATATATATAACAAGGTTGAGTATAATCTTTTTGTTTCTTCCAGTGAGCGATGTAAAAGGTGTCAACATTGAATGATATATTAAAAACCAGTCTGAATTCTTTAGAAAACTACTGAATACTGTAAGACAAGTTTTCGTGAATTTCGCAATATGGTAAAAATTTCTAGCAAAGGAAATTCTTCTGGGGGTCAACGTCAAAGAGTTTCAATGACTTTCACAAATTCCATTGAATAATTAAATCGTTAAAATTTCTAGCAGGAAAAATTAAACAAAATACAGTATTTCAAGAAAAAACAAGATTTTTGTTTTTTTATGTAAATAACATTTATTCAAATGTAGAAGACAGGGCAGTCTTGTGACTACCCATCTTCCTATCCTAATGGTATTACAGCAACTTAATGCACTCTATCTTACAATCAACCACGCCTGATTAAACACAAGCAACTGCAGACCTTATCCAAGGTTCCATCCAAGTCGCATCCTTTAGTGAATGAAACTAGACCAGTGGATTTGGCCTCCCTAATGAGTCATGCCACACTCACCCATGGTTCAATGGATTTGGTCTTTCCATTGAGTCTGCGACACGCTCACCCAGGGTAAGGGTAAACTGTTTTTGATCCCAAATAGGATTTTGACTCAGATCTACAAATCATAAATCCAAGAACAACCACCTATGATCCGTTTAAAAATGATAATTTCAATAAATATATTATAAGTGATGGGCGACATTATCATTTTTCTTGTAAGAACCATACTCAACATTAGAACAAACTTTTAAGCGGTAACTTAAACTCTTAATTTAAACTCTTAACTCTAGTGCTTCTATTAAGACACACCCCGAGTTCTTTGCACTGGTATTTTGACTTGCCTAAATTTAGAACTCATCCATACAGAACGAGTCTAGCATATTCTAAGGCAATCAAGTGGAAATGAAGAACTGTTTACCAATCAATTTTAAACCTATTCCTACCTGTTTTTATTTTTAAAACTAATTTGCACAGGCCCCTACAGGGCTTGACGTTAACTTTTTCAAACTCACTTGTCTGAATTTATGTTGCCCATTTATTTACTGTTATACGGGTAGTCTGTATCCAGCTGTCCAATGGCAATTATACTTGTCCAGGGCTATAGGAAAACCCTTTGTGTCAAGCTATAACCTTATCGCCTGACCTAACCTACCGTATTTTTTTTACTGGTGTATATTGTCTTATTGTATATAAAATAATGCTACTTCAGCACTTTGCTTGTTTTTCTTAATGGCTGGGTTGATTTTCGCCCCAAAATATTATTCAATCTCTGTATAGAACTGCCTTATTAACAGAACTAGGTAAATGAAGTTGTTGAATATTATATAAATGACAGTTTTCAACACGATAAAGAAATGTTCAATATACACAGAGAGATAGATAGCCGCTCTGGGGATAAATGTTTTTTAAATATATATAGAGTGAGTACACACACTGAATGACCAATGAGAAATTGAAGCTGACAGAATCACTGGCAGTTCAAGAGCATAGTATTCTCTTATGACAGTATATACGGTTACTAAGGCTAAATATCATGAAATATTCATGCAAGATAATAAATACGTATTCATGATTTTTATACTCATTGATAATATTTATAAAAATATTGAAACAAAACAATAATCAAGTTATGGTAGCCGTGAGAGCAAGTGTTAACAATAATGATGATACCAATTTATTTTTTGTATTTCATAGGATAGTCTATTTACTGTAGAATACTTTATTTTAGCTGGAATTAATTTTCGCTGAAAACACTTTTGGGTGTTTTGTATGTAATTTATTTTCACTGATTTTTGACAAGTTGAATGTAAAATATAGGAAAAAAGGTATATTCACTGGATTTTATTTTCACTGAATCATTCCTTCAGTGAATATAGCGACAATTAATTCCAAGTGAAAATAAAGTATTTTACAGTATATCAGAAAATTATACACTAGAAATCAGAGTGTAATTTCTATAAGGTCCAACAATATTACACATTACCACCACACCTACCTAATTCCTTACTTATGTTTAGAGAAAAAAAGATAATTTCCAAGATAAGGTAAGTCCAGTTATCTACTTTACCCGGTTTAAAGAATCCCCCCTCAAAAAGACTGGAATAGGCCCCTTGACATTTTGCTTTGAAAACCAGGATAACACCAAGCGGGGGTGGTGAAAGCAAAGAAAACAATCATTGGCAGCTGAATTAACAACATTTCAAAATAAACATGGAACCACTTCCAACACTGGGAAACAGCATCTTGATTTATTAATATATACCCCTCTTACTTCAACATGATAAATGCTTTTATTTAGACATACAAGATTAACTCGAGTGAAAAAAAAATACATTTCAGGGGTTGAAATTGATGCCTGTCCACTTCTCCCAGACAAGTAGACTTTAAGCAGGGACAGGTACTATTTATTAATGTTAAAAAAAATTCATTGTATTTAATCTTTTCACTGCCAGTTCCTTCTTTTTATCACAAAATAGTCATGTTTATAGTCTACACTTTTGTTCAGAAAACTGGGACAAAAATAGCCAATTTTTTTTTTTTAGTAAAAACTGAAAATTGATTCTATTTGTCTGTTGGCTCTAAAATTAGGGTTCATTTCCAGAAAAATTGGAGAATATTAGAAAAAAAATGCAGAAACATCTGGGCGAGAAAGTCTGGTGGTGAAAGGGTTAAACCTGTGATATGACGAACCAAAAATTCCCTTACTGGTAATTTATCTTGCTAGGGCCAGGTACATCATCAATTAAGGCAGGCCTTTCAAACTCCAACTAGTCCAATGCAAAGAGAACTTTTAATTTCAACCCTTGCATTTTAAAATAATTGAATATGATTTATTGTACAATATATATAGCTCCATAATTTAATAATTTTATTAATTATTCATGTGAGAAGCATAAAGCACCTGAGGCAAAAAGGCTAGTGAACAATTTACAAAAGAATTTTCAAACTGCAACCATTATTTAAATATTTATTTGAGTCATAGTAGACATAGTTACATATTTTGAAAAACACTTTCTATTTATTACTCAAACTGTAAAAGCAGTCTGAAACACACTATAGAAGTTAACAATAAAAATACTCTAATGTATTAATATAAAAAGAAAACATATCATTGAATATCAATGGAACAGCTAAAAATTAGCTACTTATTACACAAATTAAGTGATTAATATGCATACATTTTAATCCCAGACTAATGAGGTCAGAGGATTATTCCAAACTATACATGTACAACATTTCTTCGAAATCTGTTCATAAAATTTGTAAATTATTTACTATGTAAATTAGATATTTAATATTCATTGTTTTCAACCGAGAACTAATGAGGTCTGTGAATTCTAGATCAATTTATGTAATAAGTTTCATTGAAATCTGTCAAGTACCTCAAAATTGGCCAATATAGCTAATTAATATGCATGGCCAGAACAATTTACATGATA